TGTGTGTGTGTGTTTACTCACAGGTTCTGGCTGGGAGCATCAGCTGCATGGATACAAAGGTACGTCATGTCCTGTAAAACATACATGAACACTGTGTGAATGTAAATCTTTAACTGTATTTATTTAGTGACTAAAACTGTGGCATACACCAGTTTTTTAAGGCTATCTGTCCTGTAAGCCTGGCACTCAGAACACTTTTTTGTCTAAAAGTTTAACAGACTGGTGTTTCTTTCAACATAGTCAATATAATTCTCTTATATTAATGCTTTCTGGGGCGTAGCATTATTTAAATGAATATAAAGCGAATCAATTTTTAACTCACTGTTCAAGACACACATAAGAAACTGACTGAACACTTGAATTTGTCTGACACCTGGATGTGACATGCTGAACATGTTTTGGGTTTTTCTAAAGCACAATGAACAACCAGATCCCCTATAAAAATCCCTTTATTAACCTAGTGTTGAATAATACATTTACTCCATAAATTAAATATCTCACACTTGAGTTATTGCCTGGTTATTACATTCAGATTTGAGTGGCTAAAGAAATTCTACATTGTTTTTGGTATGATGATGGCACACACACACACACACACACACACACACACACACACACACACACACACACACAATCGGTCTAGCTCAGGCAAAAAACTCTGCTGCTCCGCAACTCATCACCACCCCCAGCTGGCTGACAGGACACATCACATTATTAGTATGCACAATCATACCCAAAAATCTCCAGGTAAAATGTCCACAGGAAGCCAACATGGATTTTCCACTAACCTCAAGCACAGGCTTAGCATTGTTGTACACGGACAGGATGTGGGTGATGCCATTCTTAGACAGACTTTCTCTGTTTTCAGAATCTGGGACAAAGAGAGAAAGGAATATATCTCACCAGTGACTTTTTAGTGAATTTAACACCAACAGCTCTGTTATATTGTATGCTGCTGTAGAACCAGAACCAGACCTGTGAGCCGTTTACTGTCCCGTAACATCATTTGGTACAGTTAGGCCTGTGGTCACTTGCTGCTGTCACTTGAACTAATTTTAGCCATTATGCTTGTGCCATCATGTGGAGCCCTCAGCAGCAGCAGCTAAAGTTAGAAAGCTGCAAATGCCACATTAACTGGGATGGGGTTTTTCCAGGCCAGGGAGTGAGACACTAACACCTTTGGACTCTTGTTTTATGTGAAGGAACACCTTCTAGCTTCTTAACAGTCTTTTTTGTCAACAAGGCACTTACATCTTCTTACCCTACTAAATCTGTCCATCAGTCCAAGGCACAGCACTTAAATTAAAAACTTCACAAAAAGCAAGTTTTGTTTTTGTCAATATTATTTGAAAAAATACTGTGTGTTACATTAAACAGCCAATAAAATAGAAGAAATAAAGAATACTAAAGTGCTGCTACATGCTAGGAGTCATCCTGCCGCTTATTCCTACATGCATTGATGGCCTATAATGGTGGCCTACTCAAACTGAAAGCCTTGCCCAACCCAGCTATACTGTACATATCAAATTTACAAACATCAAATCAAAGTAACATCATGTTTGTCTCACCTCTTATGTTCCCAAGGTAGAGCCCGTCTACAACCTGTGAAGCAGCAGTCACAGACATGTTGCATTCAGGTTAGATGTTCATTACAGTCCAGCTTCAAAAACCTCACTTGAAAGGAACAAATGTCCCAGGTTGAGACAGATTGGATTTAAAGCTTAGGGCTTAAGAACCAAGTACCGGCAAAGGAAACATTCTCTGCAGCCATACAAGGCCCGAAGCAACGATGCATGATTATCAGAACAAAGTGATGAGTGGTGAGCAGCCACTGAGTGTTGCTGTACAACTTTGGTACAAGTACCATGAAGCTGCAGTTGTCTGGAGATAATTACATGCTGGATTCACACCAATAAACTGTATGACTAACGCAGCCTGCATATTCTTGTGGAAATTAAGAATGGAAATACAGACGGCCAATTTCATTTGATCAGTTTATGCAAAGTTTTTAAAACTAAATTAAATTTTACTTGCCTTACTTTAGTGACTCAGGTTTTAAAAAGACATTTTAACATGTGTTGTTAAAATGTATTTTCACTAATTTATATATTGGACATTTGAGTAATTTTACATGTTAGCAGTGAACCTAAAGTAAATGGGACTCTCACAATACCTGGGCGGGCAGATACAAATGGTGGGCAAAAAAAAAGTATGATAATTAAGTAATAATCTATTGACTTGACTCAGAGCAAAGTTGCATGAGCCTGTTATCATTAGATCAGAGGTCAGAGGTTAGAGTCAGCCTCAGCAGTCCTGGCATAGATAAACGCCTTGCTTTAGGGCACTTGAGGAGGCAGGAAGTGGGTGGGAGTGTTTCAGGAGGGCAAAACCAGGCCACAGGGTCCCCCGGCCCATCCAACCGACCTGCTGTGCTGAGGGGACTCATTTGCATCAAACACAATCAGATGAATTAATTACAAATCTAGAAAAATACCATGTCTCAGCTGTGCCTGTGATTCCTGACTATATATACAAGGGTCTGTGTAACATCAGCCGTGGCTACATTTTGAAACAAACTAATGCTTTCAGATTTCATCAGCTCTCAGCTAGCAGCTGTTTACACATTATTCATGAAGTGAACTATCTGCTGCACTTAAAGCTTCTGCACACACTATCCAGTGCACGGTCTTTGCTTTATTAACACTGTCTATCACATCAGTGTGGGGAAGAGCAAACATGTAACTGATTCAGAAATGCACCGATCTACCAGATGGACTTTGTAGAGTTTTACCGCAAAACATTGGCTCACAACACCATAACACCGGAACATGAAACTCAACCAAAGCCTACCTTATTCATTCCATTGCCCATGATGACTTTGAACCAGTCTGCGACGAGCTACAAGACTTTAATATCTAGAACCGCTGCGATGTGTTAACATGGACTTTGAATCCAGAACGCGAGGCTGAGACTGACTGATCTCCAATTCATAAAACAGCCTTCGCTTGTGTCGCTATGTTTGTCCTCTATTCGACGACATTATTAACTTCCACCACCGTGCCTGCAACAGCAATGTTATTAAATCAGCCTTCACAGTTCAGTCATGCTGTATCGTCTTCCGGATTGTTTTGACGTGAATTAACCAACCGGTTCATCCGGTAAGTGACATCATAGCGTGACGCCGTCGGCTCAGCTGTGCTTCCTCAGCCTCACCTTCAGGGGGAGGACGTTAATGTTCATACGTTCAGACTTTAGATGTTCAGTCAGGGATGTATGTGCATAGTATCCGGAAACCGTAATGATATCATAATATATTGGTATATATTACATATTCTGCAACACGCACTTGGAAACATTATGATTCATCCATATAATGAGCAGAAATCCCTCTTGTAATCGCTATAGACCCACACCAACATACTATATACTGTTATATACTGATTGACTGAATGCAATGAAATAAATAGACTCATATACACCAACCGCGCAAATAACATGCTATTATATGGGTTATTGTGCGTTCTAATAATGGTAATATAACAAAAGGTTATCATTTTTATTCAATATTAGGTCTAACTGTAAATAACCATACAGACTTAATTATTGTCTATTTATTTCAGAGCTATCTTTTCCCAGTCATGAGTAGTTTTCTGCAAATTTTCCTTTAAGTCTTCTTTTAACTTTTAGATATTATAACCAATTATTTGCTGATGCAAATGTTTGTGGTTAAGTAACACCTAAAGATAAATTCTCATGTCAATTTTACCTCTAATTTAACTAAAAATAACAGTCTCCCATTCTTTAAACAAAAATAAAACCCTAGGAGTCCTACAAACTAGTGGAACAGATCACGTTAGTAAAAATATAATTTCAGATAGAAAACCACTAAAGCAACAAACATATTAAAATCAATACATTTGAGGTCTAATGGTTTAGTTTTTTAAAATATGAGACAGTAATTTCATGTAAAAGCGTTATTTATGTAGGAGACACAATGTCAAAATCACAACAATTCAAATGGAGAGGTTTTATCAGTTGAACAATTTTTATTCTTATTTCTATAATACACAATGACCTTAAGAGGAAGTGGTCTTCCAGAAAGCACAGACTGAGGTAATGTGGACAATGGATAAATACAGAAATATAAGTTTTCTTGTATCTTCGAGTTGGTCTGACTTTATTTTCAAGTATGTGTTATGGTCCTCTGGGTCCTTTACTTTTTCCACTGCTTGTTTTCGTAGTCCCACTTGGATGCGAAGCCCTCCACTGGGTTCATTCTCATGTCCAATGTCCTCTGGAGCTCCTTCGCTTTGTACTCAGGATCAAAAGTATGTGGGACGGGTCCATACACTGTTAAGGGACGATACCAAATGTGTCATGTAAAAGGCTTACTCAGACTTCAAGCAATCATTGTAATCAAGATGATAATTACATTCCTTGTTGTTTGTATTCATTATATTTGGAAAAAAGGTATCGCTACACACAACCTTGAACATAAATCATTGCCAATTTTGTCATTATACTTTTTGGAAGGCTTACCATACTTCCTCTGCCAGAGCACAATCAGGCCAGTGCAGCCAATTAAGAACATCATCCCTCCAACCACAGACTTCCACTCAGACGATCCCTGGTTCATCTCAGCAAAGCTCTGCTTGAAGCTGATGCGGTACACTGAACATCGGAAACACACACACACACACACACAAGATGATTATAATTTTACCATTTACCATTAGATATGCGTCTAAAAAAAGCAGAGTGCTGTGCAGTTAGGTCCTACATGCAATCTTCTCCTCATTAGAGAGTGCAGCCCAGGAGCCCATCTCCTTCTCCTTCAGGGACTTCTGCTCTGGACTCAGGTTCTGCACATAGCAGATATCCGGGAGGGGATTCTCCCGCCTGTCGAAGTAGGCAGGGAGAGTGTATTCCTCTACCTTAGCAACACCTGCGGGGGATAAACCAGAATGAGTCGTCAAATAAGTTTTGCAAACACTTAATGCCTTCATTCAATTCAACCTTCTCTGAAATGTCATGTGTATTCCAAGATAAAAACGTTTTGGTTTTATATTTTATGGAAGACTATGCTGTTAAACGTTCAAAGAATAAGCACGGTGTTGACTGCTGTGCTCTTTGTCATTAAATCTTGCTCCAAGTCACCTGCAGTTTTCCTCAGCTTCTCCAGTAAGTTGTCCTTTTGACCTAATTCCGAGTCTCGTCAATATATTGTGAAATATTCAGAATATTTGCTGAAATTATAAATATTGAAGAAAAAAAAAGGTACATGCCATCACCAAATAGTTGTCTGGCACTCTCTTGAGAATTAACTGTAAAATAAATGGTACCCTCCTAGAGCCATCTGTAATACCCGAATGAGTGCCAGTCCAGCTGAAAGTACTTGCACTTGCAAGAAACTATGCTGATACAAATACTTTAATCAGCTGTGTTTTTTCACTCAGATGTTTTCCTGGTGGCTGGAAAACATGTTTACAGGGTGGCAATTCTTTAATCTAACTTAAGTGAAGTGCCAGATGTACATAGCTTATGTTTCAGGTAATGGTGAGATGGGAGGGAAGATAAAGCAGGTCCTCTACAGCAACCAGACTCACATTACAGGGTGGAATTGTGTTTTATGGGACTTGGACTTGGGAAACACATGATGTTGCGCCGTGACTCTAGTCTAGTGTAATCATCGATGTAGACGTCTCAAAAGTAAAAATTAAATGAGGCACAAACTCAATCTACTGTATTATCACCCCTGCCAAAAATAGAAAGTCCTCCATGTTATGTCAGATCATACACACCATGTCCTCCACGTAGGCAGACAGATGTGGAAATGGCACGTTTGCCAACAAGGCGAAGGGCTCTGGTGGCCAGCATTCTGCAAAAACATATCAGATATTAACTCACTGAGCAATTTACATAAAGTCATCAGCATGTTCACACATCCTCCTTACAACGATATTGATCTTTCAACTGATGTTAACTGATTTACTATGAAGAATTCTCCAGTTTCTTCAGGGTACACAAATTAGGAATCAACAATAACTTAGCAAACACGGAGCAGGTGTTTTCAAGGACAGTTAAATGGTCGCAAGTGTAAAATATAATGCGATTTTCGGCATTTGCCAGTTATTTAAAACTCAGTGTCATTAGTATCGTAAAACCACTAATAAGAGCAAGAACTAATACACATGTGCGTTGACTTTCTGTTGTGACTGTCGTTGACACCAAAGGTCCAACGTTAGCTAATGTTAGCGTTAGCTGCAAACACAAGGTCACAGCACCCGGAGGAAGTAACCGCAGATAATACACCCGTTTCTTTCAGACAATAATGTACAACTCCATACTTCCTCACTGGCTGAGACTGCATGTACACGAACCAACTGTGGACCACTTTAACATTTACTGTCTACGCAACACATCCGCACCCACCAATCTGATGCTAAACGCTGCCGACGGCTAGTTAGCCGGTAAGTTAGCCGTCCTAGCTCCGCTCGGACAAAGTCACTAATACACAATCGATTAATTCCGTTAAAATGACCAGTTCACCTCGAGGGCCACTACTTACACCGAGAAGAGAGCGTGAGTAAGCGGTACAGTGTGGTGTGTGTCTGTGTGGTTAGAGGAAGAAGTAGATAAAATAAAACAAGCTACTGTCTTTACCTCGATCACGTCCGCCAATCGGCTGAAAGGAAGTGTGCCAGTGAGCGGAAAGACGTAAACTAAAATCAGGTCAAACTGGGACATATGATCGCGCTTTACGACAGTTCCGCCCTGCTTTACGGCCCCACCGGTGCTGTAGAAACGAGTGGAAGGTGGAAGTGAGATTAGCTGCTCTGGCTACATTTCGTGACACTGAGTAAATTCATCTAGCATTAAAGAAATAAAATAAAACTGCTATTGGTTCATACTAATCGTAAAGCTTACATGTGCGCGTTAGAAGGCACGGCGTCGACCACGTATTGTGACAGTAAGGAGTCTGCGGAGGGACATATCCACTTTAGTCCGTGCATTATATGTAACGTTAGCTAACGATAGCAGGCAGAAAGGCGTGTAGCCCCTTGAACTTCTCCGACAGGCTCCACCGAGTTCAGCCGACTCTCTCCTCAACATGCCTATTCAGCTGACAAGCCAGGCTTACTGTAAAATGCTTTTACACGCCGCCAAGTATCCTCACTGCGCCGTGAACGGACTGCTGGTGGCAGAAAAGACGAAGGAGAAAAAGAAGGACAGCCACAGTGAGCCGGTGCTGTGTGTGGACTGTGTGCCGCTGTTTCACGGCACTCTGGCTCTGGCACCGATGCTAGAAGTAGCTTTAACACTGGTGAGTAGCTAATACCGCACACTAATGCAGGCTAATGCCGCAGAAGTCAGGTTTTTGTTGAAACTGCTGTAAAGGTTTGATTTAGTAGGCTGTTTTAATGACGTGCTGTTGAATTGTGTTACACTAACAGGTGTTTTTTTTTTATTATTATTATTATTGTGTTCAATATTAGAATCAACTACCAGTATAATGAAATACAGTTTGAAAATGGTAAAAATGAAACATTTGAATGAACAGCTCTCAAACATTATACACTATGAGTTATTGCAGAGCAGTTTTATGTTAAATTCGCTTAAACTATGTGAACCTAATAAACTGGAAACTAACTCTATTTTTTTCTCTTGTTGAATGAATTTGGTCTGACTGTTCTTCTGTCCTTTCACATTGTCTGACTCCTCAGATCGATACCTGGTGTAAAGAAAATAACTATGTTATTGCCGGATATTATCAAGCCAATGAACGCAAAAAGGATTCAAGGTAATGGACACTTCCACCCTGTTGTTTCAGTAATACAGCCCGTTACAAACTATGCCCCAAACTCCTCTGGACTCTTAATGCACTAAATGTTCGGTCCTCTCTGTTACAGACTCAACCAAGTTGCAGAAAAAGTGGCTGCCAGGATTTCTGAGAACTTCAGTGAAGCAGCCATTGTTATGGTAATAGTAAAGTTCTATAAATACTTTACTTTATGATTTTTCCAATGCATGCGGCGCAGTTTTAGTAAAACAAATATGTTTGTATGTATGTCATTTCACAGCAAATGTAATCAGTGGCTCCACTATCTGAGATTTGATATTTGGCTGCAGAACATTGTGAACACTGTACAAACTGAAAGAGATGATGTGAGTTTATTTTAGCTGCCTCTTAAATTTGTGATGTCAGCGCTTCTCACTAGCACCAGTGCTGAAGACTTATCCAAACATTACTGTCGCTGGTTACAAACATAAAGCAAGTGTCTGCTAAATGGTAAGTTAATAATGTACAGACAAAATGAATACAATCGGCAGCTGGGGAGGTGATAGAAACAAAGTCATTCTTAAAGGCTTTAATGTGCTTCTAAAATTGGTTAGCAGCAGTGTAATAGAAACATGTAAAACACTGGTCTGGTCTTGTAAAGTTTTACATAATGCATGTTGTTATTTCCTAGAATCTCACCAGGATCATAGTTTCCACTAAATCTCCTCTAATTTTCTCTTTTTCTCCCCCCTCAGGTGGACAACAGTAGGTTAACAATTAGCTGTTTTGAACCCATTGTGCTCATTTATGATCATCATGAAAACAAGTGGAAAAGCAGAGAAGTAACTTCGTAAGTGTGTCTGTGTTAAGAGCTATTTCACTGCAAGACTCGCAAGAACTTAAAATATTTATTCAGAATATTCAGAAACAGTGTACGTTGTATATGTTTTAGGTGTTAATTGCCAAACTAATGTTTTCGTCTGTTCTCCAGTGACTGCTTCGAGGACTGGGGCGAGGCCCAGAAGATCACATCCGCTCTGTTGGAGGGCAGGTCCTACGAGAACTTGATTGACTTTGACAATCACTTGGATGATCTAAGGAACGACTGGACCAACCCTGTGATCAACAAGTCCGTCCTGGATCTGTGCTAAAACCCTCATTCAGGAGTAACCTGGACACGCACACAGACATATTGCTGCCACTTCAGCATGCATGATGCTACTTATCGTGTAGCACAGGAGTACGAAAATGCTGAACGCATAGTCTTTGTTCCATCAAAAGGTTCCCATACTGATGGGAACTTGTGGAGCACTGACCAGTTAGGCCAAAATCTGTCAAGGGCAAGCGCCATATGTGCACTGTTGGTATGTGTCCACCTTTACAAGGTGATACTGATAAAGGCAATTATGTTTTTGAATGCAACTTAAATGAGTTTTTTTTTTTTTTCTGCAATGGTTTGTGTTTAATCATAGTTGTGTGCATTAAGTTAAATTCTAGAGTATTTGATCTATTTTTCCCTATTTTGCAGCCAGTAGCCATAAAGGAATTCTAAATTATAAAACAAATGTGATGATTGTACTACTGACATATGATTTAAATATGTTCCTTATTAAATGTATTAAATTTCTAGTTTGCTATGAGCCCTGAAACAAAATTCACACGTAGAGCTGTAGTCTGAGGAAGTTTGTGGGAAGGTTAATAAAACACTTGTAAGAAGAAGGTATCGACAGAACCAGAGAGACGGCAGTCTTAAAGGTTTGTCTTATCGGACTGTATGTCACATAACTTCAGTCCTTCTGTAGCGGCACCAGCAATGACAATGGGATGATTGACTCAAGAGCTTTGACTTTGAGTAATTAATGCTCACACAAACATTTCTATGATGTGTTTCTCCTGTTACGGTCACTGGTGTGCTTTAGAACGATAGACATGTCGGCATATTGGCTTTTGATTGTTCTGGTAGGTTTGTTCAGAAATATAATGCACTGAATCAGATCACAGGGATGTGTGAATTCTGTTTTATGTTGGATATCTGTTTTAAGGATTAGGAAATAGTATTTATTTATACTTAAGTGACCACTCTAAATCCTACTATTTAATAAATAATCTTAAAAATTTAAATACTTAATGTGAAGATGCAGAACTACTTTTGTATTGGAGATAAGAATGAATCAATAAGAGCTAATTACTTAAATAATTGTGTGGACAGACATTTTTTACAGACATTTTATGAACTGAATGTACAATGAAACTTTTGAAACTATCAGTTTTTGTCAGACTCATCATTGGCTCTACAGTTTAGAAAAGGGTTGATAAAGTTTTAAAACTCAGCTAATTGATGGTTTTCCTGATCTATCAGTAACACAGATTACACAGATTGTTTTATCTAACAGGTTTTAACAGGTAGAATGGAGAATAATAAGAAAAATAATTTCTTATTTCAATTTGCGTGACATGACATTTATTTAAAAAGAAAGATACATTCTAAGAATGTAGAGAGATACATACTTTAATAATCCCAGAAGGAAACTGCATCATTACTGCAGCAAACTCAGTAATTACAGATTAAACTTCATCTCCTCTAAATAATGAAGTTTACTAACTCGTGTGATTTAGACTTCATAGCCTAAAACTGTTCTAGATGTAATTTCCTGCCATTCCCTTACAAGAAGTGATGATTCACAATGCATGTTGTTAAAAATAACCAGGAAACTATCTTTCCTCACTTACATTTTCTGTTTTCTCTTGCCGGGCCTTCTGGACTTTCCTTTGTCTTCAATGTATCATTATGTAGCACCCACTGAAATCTGTCCTAGACTTTGCCCTAAGAAATGTCACATGCCCAGATAAAAATCCTTCACACTTCACCACATTATGATCTTATTAGCATGCGCAGTAGGCTTTTTGTGAATCCTGAAAGCAAGCTGTCAGATCATCTACTCATGACTACAGAAAGTGTTCATACTTCAGCCACTGCCCATACGTACTGCTACTAGCCACTTACAGCTATATAATTATTAGAAAAGAGTCATCATAAGAGTATTCATTGTTTTTATGTAATCAAGGTTCTAACTAATAATTGTTGATTAATGTACAGATTATTTTCCAAATGTATTTGGCTTATCACAAAAGTGCCCAACAGAATTATCAGAGCTCAATGACTTCTTGTTTTAACCAATCAACACTCCAAAATGTAAGCTTACATTTATATAGAAAAGAGAAGTGGCAAATACTATAAAAAAAACTGTGTATGGTAACTTATATTTAACAATTACTTACTCATTAACTCATTAATAAAACAATATCAAACAAAAACGTGCAAGAGTAAGAGATACCGAAAATAATATTTAAACAGATGTCACAAATGCAGAATTGGCACATAAACACCTTCATAGAGGCAACCTCCTGTTTATCACTTGGTATATATTGCCACCTAGTGGTGCTTACCTGCAACTCTTGTTACTGTCACGTGACACACTTCCTTTAGGCCAGACAAAGCTAAAAAAAAAAACAAAACAGGAAGGGTCAGTGTCGTCATGGGCAACCGACCCGTAATGCGCCAGTAAACAGCCTTCAAACTATACTTTTCTGTAAATATTCAGATACGCAAGCGTTAGGAGGATCACAGACAAACACAGCGAAGTGGTTAAAGGGAACAAAACGGTACAAAGTGCGCCAAGCGCGACATTGTTCGTCGCTTGTTGATGACGATGTTGTCTTATCCTGCGTGCGCCTTGTAGGTTCGTGCAGCCTGCAGCGCGGGAAACAGTCAGCAGTGTGAGAAACAGTCAGCAGTGTGGATGTGAGGGGAAAGTTTCTGCCAATACAATAACGTAGCCAGACAGACAGCTATGGATCCGTCGGAGGTAGAGTTCCTCGCCGAGAAAGAGATGGTGAAGATTATACCAAATTTCAGTCTGGACAAGGTCTATTTGATCGGGGTAAGTAACTCAGTTGTATTTATGAACAGTTGGGTACAGATAACTCACACAACGTTGTTTATATGCTGCTGGAGGTGGGAGTCAAGGGGCTCTGTGGGTCAACTGTTGTGTTCTGGGTCTTTATGTGTTCAGGGAGACCTGGGCCCCTTCAACCCCGGACTGCCAGTCGATGTTCCTGTGTGGCTGGCCCTCAATCTGAAACAGAGACAGAAATGCAGAATTGTTCCTCCTGCGTGGATGGATGTTGGTAAGATATACAAAACATGTTTTCAAGCTGCCAGGAGAGTTGAATCCCTATGAGGACAGAGGATTGCTGCAGAAATGACATTCTTTTTAAAGAATGATTTGAACCCATTTAACCAAATATATCTGATACCATTTCAAACACACAAAATGTATTTTTATCAGCGTTTAAGAGGGTAAACTTTAAACCTGCCTTTACAGTTCAAAAATAAATAAGTAGTATCGTTATTTTGCATTAGACGTGAAGATTTGTTGTACAGATGGGATCAAAGATTACTGCATTCATCCAGAATCAGAAGTAGACAATATAACAACATTACTGAAATCCTTCATAGCATTTGTATTGTTGTTGTTGTTGTTGTTATTATTTACACTTAAAAACCAGTGTGTTGGGTTGAATTTTAACTTTCTGAATGTGTGCTGGTAGCTTATGAGCATAAAGGTCCAGTGTTTAGGAGTTAGTGGCATCTAACGGTGTAGTTGCAGATCCTGTCTCCGTCGCTTCCCTCTCCCCTTCCAAACGCAAAGGAGAGAAAAGATGGTGGTTCAACATGGCAGACTCACTGTCCTCCTCTGTAGATCGAAACGGCTCATTCTGAGGCAACAAAAACATAATTCCTATATTCAGGAGATTATACACTAATGAAAACATACCTTTGAATATTATATTCCATTTCTGCCAATAAATTCTCATAAATGTTTCACACTGGACCTTTTTTAAGTCAAGGGTTCACATTATTCTGTATTTTTGTTATTGTAAGCAAATGCCACAAAAAGACAAACCAACGACACTCACTGTGGTTCTTTAACTGTTCTGACTCGCCTGCTGTTGATACTGTGCAGAGAAACTGGAGGAGATGCGAGACCTCGAGAGGAAAGAAGATACGTTTACACCTGTTCCCAGTCCTTACTACATGGAACTCACCAAACTGCTACTGAACTAGTGAGTCATTTAAACTGAAGTAATGCAGAAATGACAGTCTTATTGTGCTCATGGTGTTCACAGTGTATTTAACAGTTTGGGAAAATGCTCCCTCGTTGACTGTGTATGCAGCACCGTACCCAACGTGATAGCTTGTGTGTCTCTCTAGTGCGTCAGACAACATCCCCAAAGCAGATGAGATCCGCACGCTGGTCAAAGACATCTGGGACACACGTGTTGCCAAACTCCGCCTCTCTGCAGACAGCTTCATCAGTCAGATGGAGGCTCACGCCAAGGTAAAACCGATCACAAAGAATCACACGCTGAGCATTTATTATAGGACTATAGGAATATTATAGGACTAAAACAATGGGTCAAATAATTGATTAGTCAGTTAGTTCGGTTGTGTTGAAATTCAAGAAATATGTAAGCACCTTGTATTTACTTTTGAGCTCCAAAGAGCATCTTCAAGTGATGGAAAAAACAAATTAATTCAAACATTCAAGTTGAACCTTGGAGCCCCTTGATTGTTTCTTTTCAACAGGATTAACAGCCATGGTCACAGTGTCTTCAAAAATAATGGGCATAATCTTTTTATCCCCTCAACATGTGGACCCGCTGCTTCTTGTTTTACTGTCATATTAAGCTTCAGCACATATGAGCGAAAGCGCTCACAGCATTCATTAGAGAACTTGTTTTCACTTGTTTATGTGTTTAAAACGGACCATGTGTTTTCCTTCCTTCCCTCTATAGCTGGACAATCTCACTCTGATGGAGATCAACACCATACGAGCATTCCTTCTTGACTCTCTCAACTGCATGTACAAACTACGCTCCAATCTGCAGCCCGGTTCAAGTAAGGGACAGCTCACAGACTACTGATCCACAACATCAAGGCCTGCTGAAAAGGTCTGGATCTTGCCCCAATAATGTGGGAAGACTGGGGTTAAAGCCATGGACTAAGGGAGTTACTCACTAGGTCCTTCATTACTCAAAAGACTGTTTTCTCAGAAACTGAGATTTATGTTAATGGCTGGTTGAAGCTAACTGAGTTTCGCTCACTCCTGAGGGACACATGTAGGTTGTACATGTATCTGCCGTTTAAAATATGTCCATATTTAATTTAATTTGGGATGCTCACTGTAGTTTTAAACCCTTCTTGTATATCTTAAGTGAAACAATAAATGTATTTGTGTGTATGGCTAGGTTATATAAGTATACTCTTTTTCATGTTTGTATCTTCTTTGTGTCACTTATCTGCACATTTCAGTATTCTAGATGAGTGGTGTTTTGCAGGATTGATGGCATACATATAGTTGACATGTGATAATGTCTGCTATAGAGCTGAATCACCTTTAGCTTCTTCAATGTTTTCCACTTATCTAGGTTTTATACAGTTTTAAACTGAATTTATTTGTTTTGAACTGATAACTAAACAAAACAAGACATTTAAAGAAGTCTCTTCACTTGGGCTCAGGAAAACTTGACGAAACTTCAAAAGAAACCCAAATTCTCACCAAGACAATTTTAATCTAAAACTAGTGACGAGTTAATATTGAGGGTATTATATTTTAAGTACCAAGTCACCAGATCTATAAAAAATCTTTGCCAGTAATATTGGTCCTTTTTAATTATTATATATGCATGAATGTATGATTTTAGTGTTCTGCCCTCCCATGTAACCGCAAACCTACCAGCACCCAAAACAGACAAAGGTTGATATTTAACATTTTTGAAATATTTTATTTTCTTTTTTGTCTGAAATCACAGCCATATATTCATAAATACCTAATTACTACATTCAACAAAGAATATATTACATTACAATGAATTCAAACAAGTACATTTTAAAAACAGGATTTCACAGCATCTAGACATCCTCCACTGAGTAATGGGGCTATTGCATGGGCGTGCGTTGGAGACACAGGGAGGCTGGGTAAGGGGCTCACTGTAACTGCACCTTCCTCCCCAGGTCATTGGCAGCTTACCTCAGCATGCATACTCCCTCATAAACTGATAGGCTGTGCTCTTGGCTCTCTTCTGCTCTGTAAAAATGACAGACTACACTCTGCATCCACCTGATCCTCTGAAATGGCTCGGGCCTCATTTATAAAAAGTTCTAGTGACTCAATGGATTCTCAGAGATGCATTTAGATAAAGGAATTTGGTGTCGGTTTTTGACATGCACATATTTGAAAGGTGTGAGACATACAGTAGACGCTTGAATGTGAAGTCCCTGATCACTGATGTGTATAATGTCCATCATGTGGACTGCAACTCATTCTCATGCTCCCAAATTCTTGAGGCACTTGTAATTAATATACTGTATGTAGGGGTTAAGTTGTGCTTCAGTCTTTCTAAATTAAATTTCTGCACAAGTTTGCGATTTTTCTTCTTTTTTAATTCCCCCACTCTTTTCACACCAACCATCCCACCGCCATAACTTGTGCAGCTAGGATAGAACCCCTTAAATTCAAAACTGATCTATACACCTCGTAGATGGCCTTTAGAGTCTCCAATCGCACATACAACCATAACGCTGAGGCTACATGAGTTACAGGGAACAAAGTCAGTGTAAAACTTGCGTGACTGAATCTCAGAGCAGAGCTGACGAGGAGGATGAAGGTCAGGCAGAGGTTGTAAACAGGCGTGAGGCCAGGTAAATCTGATTTTATATGTACTAGGAAATTCCCAGATTGAACCTACTTTTTGTGTGACTTATTTATAACAAATTGGCAACTTTGGATAGCGACGGTCCTAAAATGGGTAAATGCAGGAAGGAGATGAGTAGGGTCAAGGGTTTTCAGCAGTGGAAGAGTGCTGTTCTGGTTTAAATGTTTGGCTAGTTAATTGCAACTCAATTTAAAATTAAGAATCCAAAATGCTACCCTTATTCATTTTGGCACTATGTCCTCTCATGGCCGCTGACAAGGGCTTGATCCTGTAAGGCGTAACATTATGCAAACCGTCATATTGTTTAAGTCCAAGGTCATACAAAGTGAACTGAAAGGTCCAATGGTAGGATAAAGCATTAAGAACCAGTTTCATCAGCTGGCAGCTTAAAAGACTCTTCATGTCTTTACAAAATAATCAAATATGTCAAGTGACTAAAGTAAAAAAAGTATTCTGTCACTGTGGATCTCAACTGGTTTCTGTATGAGAGCATCACAAGCTAACTAATCATGCCAGTAGCAGTGAAGCTGACCAGAGGAATTGTTAAGGGGCATTATATAACAGAGAGACATATGTTGCTGTGAAGGGAGGGGGATGAGAGGGCAGGAGCCATGTCTCAGGACCTCTAAGTAAGCTTTGCTGAGCTCAGATGCCAGGTGAGGCGGCTGTGGCTGAGTCTCAGCTGCGCAGTGCCAGGAGAGAGTAAGAGGAGAAGTGTATCCTGTTCTCTCTCACTCTGTTAAATGTCTCAAAATGAGCTGTTCTGGCCAGCAGCAGTACAAACACTAAAAGCAAGGCTTTCTTTTCCAACCCAAAAAAGCATAAACATATAAAAATGGCAGGCTTTTTTCTTTTAAAAGAACAATGATTAAAGTAATAAAAACATACAAAATTCTTTTAAGTCTTCATATTATTTACAATACAAGGCTGAAGCACCTTTTAAAATTCTTATTCTCAAATTTTCTATTTTGAAATAAAACATTTCCTTAATTCTTTCCAAAAATGTGCATTTTCTAAGTTCGTCCCTAATTTGAACAGTTCTTTGTTGTAACACAGTACCACCAGGTAGTTCTTCAGCTTTTATTCTTAAGTGCATTTCCAGTTCAAAAGCTCATGTGGCCACTGTGATAAAATCAGTCCCGACTGGCCAGAAGCCTTTGGAGCGTTCAAGTCTCTTGATGACACCCCCTTCCTGGGGTAGCTGCTCCCTCATTGGCAGGATTGTCTGTGTAGCTGTGGCGGCGAGGGATGCAGGGACTGAACAATAGAGCAGCAGGGACTGAAGATTGTGTGAAAAGCAGGTGCACATCTGTATTTGTGTGTGTTTGTGTTGATCTTCAGATACTCCTGTCCCATACTCCTGCTGATTTAGGGGGTTGGCTACATTGGCACGTGTTGCAGTCCCTGGTTGGCCACAATCCAAAGACTGTCGGTCCTTCACTGTATGGTCCTGCATCATCCATCTAACCATTCACTCCATTCATTCATTCATTCATTCATTCATTCATTCATTCATTCATTCGTTCTTCTTATCTAGCCAGCCATATTCTCCTCCATGGAGCCATGTGCACCAGGCCATGAAAAATAAACTCTGGGTGTCAGTCTGAAAGGGGAGGTGGCTGGGGGCCTGGGGGCCTTCAGGTCGGTGTGTTGGGGTCACCTGGGAGGGTAGCCCTTGTAATGACCGCCTCTCGGCCAGTGTGTCTGTGGCAGTGTCAAACACTTCCTGAAGTGCTCCAGCTCTGCTTGTAGATTCTCCCTTTCCGCTGCCAGCTTCTGTCTCTGGGACATCAGCTCCTACATGACCAGGGCAAAGGAGAGGGAAGACATGAAATATTAAGTTAACGTAAAATCACAACGACAACGAGACAAATCCCAATGTGAGAATGATAAAGAATTATAGAGGTGGATATCGGATTCATGCTCTGCACTCAACACCTATGGCTTTGAAAACCTGCACCAAGAATAAGCATTCAAATGATTTGCCAGTCCCGCTGTCTGTTTCGCTGTGATTTTGAAGCCATTTCATCCACTCTGTGTATATACCGTGTATATTATGAAGGACAAAAAAAAAGACCTGTGTGTGGAGATAGAAGGGAAATGTGTAGGAAGTAGGCACTGATGAATGTGGGCTTAGAGATGATGCAAAGTGTGTGTTAGAAGGCACAATAACAGCAGTGGTGGTGTATGCGTCTTACCCCCATGTTATGAGACAGTTGCTCAGCAGTCAGACTGAGGTTGTAGTTCTGAGCTTCTAGTCTTCGACACTGACTCTGCAACACTTGTCGCTCCAAACTTTGCTCTATAGGACCACACCAAATCAAAGAAAATACGGGAAAAAAAAGAGGGTTGGGAGTTAGAGAAAAGAATTAAGCCTACTTACAGAATCATGTGCTGTCTAAACAGCAGATTGTACGAGGCTAAATTATCACAAGCAACTAGCACAGAGAAAAAATGTTTCTCCTTGTTTCTCAGATTGATCTTATGCTGACTGAATTTCTGGTACAAATCCTGATTGCACGTTCATCTGCATATGACTGAATAGTGTAGAGGAAAGGTGAACCCCATCCTTGAGTGCTGAAAGAACACTACAATGACCCTTAAAAATTGAAATCTTTTCTTTTGTATTGACTTCCATTAACCACCAAACAATATGCAATTGTACACTACTGCTTTAAGTTGAAAACATTAATACAGATGAAGGAGCCCTAGAGATTTCTTTATAATCACTGCTTGTTTGCCATGGCTGCTTACCTTCAGCATATTCCTGATATGCTTCGAATATAGATTCAATCCCCTGCCACTTGGAAACAGGAGCCTCCTCTTCCTCCTCATCCTCTTCCTCCTCAGAGTCATCTGGACCAGACAGGTCCTCCCTCGTCCCTGAGGCCTCCCGGTGCTGGGGTACAGAGAAGTGCTGCCCATTGGGCTGGGGGTGAGGGTGTGAGAGCGGATGGGGAAATGAATGTGTGTTGGAGTGAGATTGTGAATGCGGCTGCGGCGGTCGGCCAGGGGCGCTCTGAAGCTCTGGAATGTTGTAGTGAACAGATGACTCCTGGAGGTGGGACGACTCCGGCATTCCTGTAACTCCACCTAAAGGACAAGAGGGGAGAGGAGGGAGAGTTGTTTCATCCATTTTTCCATCCAATAGTGGTGAAAGTCAATTAACTTATGGCTTGAAAAAAGGTTTATTTCCAATATTGATTCATCTGCTGATTATTATTTTCTCAATTCACTGATTAATCTTTGGTCAATAAAACATCCATCACAATTTCACAAAGTCTTCAAATTGCTGGTTTTGCCAGACCAACAGACCAAAATTCAAAGATATTCAACTGACTACCATAGAAGCCCAAGAAAACAACCATATTTTCACATGTGAAGCAATGAATCTTTGGCAGAAAAAAAAATCAATAATAGTCTTTTGTATGAACAACAATTTTGATAATATATCAATCAATGAAGTTCATTTATCAAGCAAAATACCAAAGAGTTGCTGCTTCCAGCTTCTCAAATGGGCAGCTTTTTATGTTTTGTACTGTTACTTGGACAAAGCATACAATTTGACACCATCCTGGGCTCCTGGAAACTGTTATAGCCACTTTTCACTATTTTCTGACTATTTTCTATTTCTCTTCTACTTTCTTTTGATTATCTGGAAACAAAATAATGGCCCTGGATGACCTGTAGGTTGTACCTCAGTCTTGTTATTTCAGGTGGTCTCCCTAGTCACTATTCAGTCCTGCTACACATTATGCACCATGGCTTGTGTAGCTTACCTTTGTGTTTTTGCAGAGCCTTCTGAGTGGACTGAAGCACAGATTCGTGGAACTGCTGGGCAAATTCCTCCGGGGTGAAGCTGTCCCAGGGTTTGGTGCGTCCATTGACGCTGTGAAGGCCCTCTTTCGCCTGCAGGGGGAGTGGGGGCCGCAAGCTGTTCAGCAGGCTGGAGCTCCTCTTAGAGATCGGTCCCTCACTGGGCCCCCGGGCCTTGTCTGGGTAGACAGCTGGAGAAGGGGGTTCCTTTGGTCTTAATGTGTCCCCAAGGGGTTTTGGATGGCCATTGGGGGATGCTGGGCAATGTGAGGAGGGGCTATGTGGTCTGACACTGTGGTGATCTTCTGATTCAGAGGGAGGCTGGGCAAGTGCAGAATCTGCAATCATTTGAACATGTGTTAGTCATGATGAGGTCAAAATCCACATTACTACAGATGGAACGCTGTAATTAGAAATTGCTGATACTTAAGATGCATCTTCCTTCCTTCCAGATATACATTATACAAATTAATAAATAACGTTCTAATCCAATACTTCAGAGATGAGGAAGTGTGTATATTTATGTTCATTAGCATGTGTCTCACCAGAGATCTGTGCTGGAGGACTCTTGCACAGCGGATGAGGGGCATGTCTGATGGTATCCAAGGTTACGCTCCTTTCTTTAATGGCCTGAAGCAGCTCCGCCACCCTTTCATTATCTAAGACACAGAGGAAAAAATACCCAACGTTCAAATCTTTGTAGCAATAGTCTTGTCTGTATGCATTTTACTCACAATTTCATGTGTGTGCGCATGTGTGTGTGTGTGAAAAAAGGTTGAGTGTGGCCTGACAGCGTGGGAGGTGGTGCGCTGCCATCTGTAGGCAGCAAACAGTAAATCAAGAGGATTAGACTAGGATCACTGTAAACCCACTGCTGCCACTCCCAATTCCTCATCAGTATGTGTGTGTATGTGTGTG